TACACTCTTGTTTGTGTACGCTAGCTATATTATGCACGCTTGACGGCGCTCGATCTGTGTTTAACATGCTGACGCCAAAGATATGCTCCGTCGATTTGGCATTACTGTACACCTTGATTGACGTCTCCGCGGTACCGCGAGAAAGTGCGAGAGCCTGACAGCAAAAGATCAACAAGAGAACGCAAAAATTGTAATCGTGGCATGCATTTGTCCTTCTGCATGCGGTTCTAAACCGACACTTTTTTATTTAGTTATTTCAAACAATTACTGTTACTCAAGCAACCAACGGTAGGCACTCATGAAAGGTAAGAATAAAAACACTAAAAACGCTGCAAAAAACTCGCAAATGAATCGCTTTAACTGGAGGCGTTACGCCGAATTGGAGGCGAAAAGCTACTATCGGCGAATGACACAGCGAATGTGCCGGCACGCAAAGATATACGTGTGAATTTCATATTACGCATTTCGCCAGTGGATTACCGTTCTATAATCCTACGGGTCTACGTAGGCACGCTCGACAGGGCAGGTCCAACGCACACGCGACACCATAGGCACAATCAAGTCGCAGAGCCAGACCGAGCATACGCGACGACAGCACAGGATACCCACCACCGAGTGTGCACCCACCGATAGCGCAAACAGACTTAACAATTTGAACTAAAAGCATAGAGCCACCACGAGCGTACAGGGCACCAAAACAACACAACACAACGAAATAGTACGCGTACATGTACACAATTCCTACGTGCAACAGGCACGCGCACGAATCAATAGCAGAAATAACAGCACTAGCCAGCTCAGAAGTGACAGTATGAAGTAAACACGCCGCTGAGCACTGAATTGACGACAATAAAGCGCCCCGCACAAGTTGGAGCACCATGTAAGGACTGCACCGATTTCCATAAAAACGAAAAATGGGACGGAAATTCAGCACAACAGGATCCAACAAGAACAACACAAAGACAGTGAACACCCTCTGGAGCGTTGAATTCACCGAAGTTTCAGCTCATAAAATAACCATCCCAAAAACAAGCTCGGCAAAAATAACCTTTAAAACAGCTCAAATCACTCCCAACACAACAAATGGATTATGAAAACCTTATCTTACAAGTTCATCACTTTAACCCTCCAAAAGAAATTAGCAGATCCAAAAATTACAAATCACAGAAAAAACAGGCATCCATGCAATGTTCTTCTCTTAATTGTTTAATTATTTCTGATTAAAATGATGTAGAAATTGTGCTGATAACGGAATTGAAGTGGAATTTAACGTAATCTCTGGAACGGAATTTGGCAAAATTTTGAAGACGGAAATGTGCACCTCTCCTACACAATGCAGGGCTCAATTCCTCCAGTCTTGATACTACTTCCGTATGGATGTTGTTCGCTTCCAAATGCGCAATATCCGCTCAAATCTAGAGTAATTCGCGTACAGGGTTAGGCTAAATTTTACTATGAAAGAAAAAATTGCATGCAGGACAAAACGCGTCCTGATAAAATACCCTTAAAGTTAAACCCCATTGGCTATTTTAAAGCATTGGGAGCTCACGCACAAATTTTATTGTACAGATTTGTTCCAGATAGTTGATCTGAAATGCTGTAATAAATGGCTCGTCACGCACAGACTGGCGTGCTCCTGGCCTCTGTGTACATTTAAAGGAACAGTAGGGCCTCTGTAGGTTCTAGGGTTATTTTCAGCTAATTTAGGTCGAATTGCTGCTAACATAAAAAGTTCATGTTCAGTCACGCATTAAAAATAATTTTTAAAACAATGTTTTAAAACTAACGAGCTACAGTTTGATTACAAACGCGGTGGCGCCACTCAAAGCGCACGATCTGAGCAGTTGGCGGCCAAAAACCACTTTCCAAGCCAAGGGCCTACAGACCGAGGCGTAATTTTCTATTTTATTTCATTTAAAAGCAAAAGGATTGTAAATATCTATAAAGACATATTAGTTTCAGTTCATAATATGGATAAAATTTGCCCTAAAATAAATATCGTTCGTTAAATAGCATTTAGGTATTAAATAAAATTGCACTTTTGTGATTAGCCCTCGTCATTTACCTCAGAAATAAAAATGCAAATACGCACCTTTTTCAGGGTGCAGCACGGACGAGCATCAACCGCCCCGGTCGTCATGGCGGCCGTCAAATTTCGTAGGCGCGTTGATGTGTAAATGAATTTAATTAAGTATCTGGTGACAAATACATGTGAGGTATAAGACGATTTGTTAATTAGCAGTAATTACAGTTGTATGCAGTAAAATCCTAGAGGCTACTGTCGCCTTTAATGATTTTAAGACCAAATTGGATAAAAGTTTGCTCGAGGTGGAAGAGCACTCGTACCGATCAAGTTCTTTTTATGTAATCGCGTACGGATTTTTCCTTTAGGTTTCCTCATGAAAATCTGTAACAAATCCGTATTACCGATTACCTCTGGAATTTCGAGCCTGCGTGACATGCGGCATAGAGTAAAACAGTGAATAATAGAGCCTGTAATAGTTTCATGCTAGCAAGTGCGCGCTGTGACTCCCAGCTGAACGTTCACACGAGATTCCCATGGCCTTGCTGCTTTCGCGTACTTAATCTGGTGGCTGATTCGCTGAAATCCGTGCTAACACAACCCGCAGCGTTCACACGGAGCAATCGAGGGCTTAGCTGGCTAGTGTATAATAGTAATAATTTCGTCGGTTAGACTAGAGGGAAAGTGTTTTTCATGATGGTGGCGCCGCATGAAAGTCAGTGTTTGTGGCAGTTTTTTCAGTAAAATTACACAAAATTATGATCCAGATGAACCATATAACGATCCCGCTTTGGTGATGACGGATTATCAAAAGGAAATTCGGAGAAATATTTTCAATTGGCAATGAGGCCTTAAAGTGAAACACGACACTCCGGCGCCTAGTATCAATGTAGCCGCGACTACCAGTTTTCACCAGCTTACGATGCCATGGCAAATTGCGTTCACACGAACTGACCAATAACGCGACCAGCGTGGTGCCCGTTGTTTTCGCGGGAACTCACTTTTCCCGCCGAATAAGCCTCAGTATTTCAGTACGGTACTGGGAAGCCGCCGTATAAGTCTTGAATATTTTTAACCGGTACGGTGTGAACGCATGCAGAGCGTACTGAAATCCTCGTGTGAACGCAGCTTCACGTACGTCGTCCCGTTCGACAGTGGCAGTGCAGTTTGCATATTTGGCTTTGTTTGTGTTTTTTCTTGGGCTTTGCTATTTCAAAACCTGTCGCCCATAAACTCAAACGCTGTTGGCAACAGTGGTGCCCTACATGTTAAAATACCCCTCCGTGGACGCACACGTGGGCTAACATATCAACGAAAAAAGAAGGTCCCTTGGAATTTAAAAAAAAATTATATTTTAATAAGTTATATGGCTCTTTGTTTACGAAATTGTGCGGTTTGAAAAATCACTAACAAATTTTCGTACATGCTTTCAACTTATTTCTAAAAATTTTAAAGCATTTAAAAATATCCAGAACGACCAACCGCTCCCTTTTTAGTTCATATTATGAACAACTTATGGTTTAAATAGTTCTAGGTCGCCAACCTTCGCTGTTCTCAGAAATAAAAAAAAAAGCATTTTTTGTATAAATTCACAAATTTTGGCCAGTCACTATAATTAGCATGTAATTAAAAAAAAATTGCATCGAGAGCGTAGAGAGGCATCTCTCTTATGTATGGATATGAGTTGAATTTCACAACTAACCAAAGAGGAAGGAAGAGATTACAAATAAAACTAGAAAGGGGCAGTTGTCGCCAACTACATGTATTCCCCGTGTTCTCCCAAGATGTGTATTGTGTAAGTATACGAAGTTTGGTTGCACTAGAACAATCATTAGGGGCGATTTAGAGTGGAGAGAAAACAATATGATGAGGTCAAGGTCAAGGTCTAAGGTCAATGTCAAATAAAGGTTGCAGTGACCTGGTTTCGGTACGCGACACACACCTTCTCTCCCAAGATGTGTAGTATACACAAGTTTGGTTGCGCTAGGTCAATTAGAGGCGCGAGTAATAGAGCGAAAGGGAAATAGATCAAGGTCAGGTCAAATAAGAGTCGTAGTGACCTGGTTTGTATGCTGCTCACCTTCTCCCCAAGATGTGTAAGTATACCAAGGTTTGGTAACGCTAGGTCAATTAGGGCCGAGTTAGAGAGCGGAAGGGAAATATTAATCAAGGTCAAATAATAAAGTCGCAGTGACCTGGTTTTGGTACGCTGCTCACCTTCTCCCCAAGATGTGTAAGTATACCAAGTTTGGTAGCGCTAGTCATTTTAGGGGCCGAGTTAGAGAGCGGAAGGGAAATATGATCAAGGTCAAGGGTAAAGGTCAATTAAAGGTCGCAGTGACCTGGTTTTTTGGTACGCTGGCTCACCTTCTCCCCAAGATGTGTAAGTATACCAAGTTTGGCTAGCGCTAGGTCAATTAGGGGCCGAGTTAGAGAGCGAAGGGAATTCTCTACAGCGGACCGAGCGGCGGCGGCTGGGGAGACATGAAACCATAGTATCCCCGCCGACTTCGTCGCGGGGGATACAATAACAGAAATCAAGAAGCTAAACTTAAAGGGATCCTGGAAGACGGCACATGTCAAACGCAATGATCACGCTCAGATGATCGAGTGCTACTAGATTGTCAATGTCACAACTATTATTTTAGTTATTTCTTAATTATTATCTGCTTTTGGAAACTGCACTTCCTAAAATAAACAATCTCATTTGTGCAGATTTGAAATGTTTTTCATATATATTGCAGCTTAATGCGTGTTGACTTGGTATGTCTGAATTACATAGTGTGCTTCCCTGACAATGACAGTGACAGTTACAATACCACATAACCTCATAAATATTAGTCTTGAAAATCCAAGAGACTATATCGATGACGAAAAGAGACAAAGACACAAAGTTGATCAAATAATAGACAGAGATCATTAACAAGACTGCACACAGATGACAGTAGAAAAATTTTTAACTCAAATTTGCACACGACTATGACCTAAAGAGGGAGGAAGAGAGGTACCAAGCTACTCTTGATCCAATAATTCCAATACGGAATGACAGAAACAATTTAACTACGAAGCATAACTCATCAGACATAACTCATACGTCATTGATAATCGTTTTTAGTTTCATATACGCCAAGAGCTCATAATAGAGAAGAGTATGACAGTGTATGACACCGCAGCGTTTTGCATAGTTTTCAACTTGTAAATATTCTATCAATATGTGAATAAATATATTCAAACTTTACCTTGTTTTCGTCTATGATTCTCCTCCCTTAAATTGACTACGTCACGAATTTTCTATGGTAAAATTTGTAAAATTTTTGTTGCCATTTTTTTACATTAAAAGTAAGAACTAACGGGACTAAACGTATTGTTAAATTCTTACCTGATAAGATTGTTCCTCAACTAGTTAAAAATCCAAAAAACCTGGACGATTTTATATTAGTTAAATTCCTGACATTAATTGCTTGCTATAGGCTTTGTATGCGTCACGAGTGTATGTTCACATCAAACAATATAGTAAAATAAGAAGTATAATGCAGCAATTTAACCATAACAAGTGCCGCAGAGCGACAGCGCTCACCTGACGACAGGTGTTCGGATGCTAAACTCACTGGCAAACAAATGAAGAGCACCCTCCCATCACGGCGTTCGCGCTCAGAGCATATATCTAGGATACTACTAATACAGATCTAAAATCTATGATAGCTAGGCTTTGCTATACCGGTAGTACAGTAATAAAGATACAGCTGTGTAACTTTAATGACTTCGCTATATGAACATGTTATCATGGATATGCGTCAAGCGCGAGCGTAGTGGTGGTGATGGGGGGAGAGTGGGGGGAGGGGGCGGGTGGAGGGAGCTCTAATAGCAAAATCAGTTGCCGCGAGAT